TTCGTCTTTCGTTTTTTACGACAAAAGTGCTTATCTAAAAATATCGAGAAGTTAAAAATAATGAAAAAAAAAATAAAGTCATTGATGTAAATTTCGAAATATGGGTCAGAATATGCGATAAATTTCATTTAAATTACACGTTTTCTACTTCCTTTATCAAATTTATCATAAATCAGATGTAAAGTAAAGCATCAAATTTAGCGTCATTGATGCTTTAAATCAGATAGTTGTTTCAGATAGTATGGGGAAGAAGATAGCTTCCACAACTCTTTCTTCACACCATTTACGTTTAACGCATGAAGATAACAGATTTTAATGGTGTGTTTAATTTGTGGTGAAGGTGTGTTTCTTCTTTTGTTTTTTTTTTAATTTGAAGACGGATATGGGAAAATACAAACATAGAAAGTGGAATATGATAATGTTTTTTTTTTAAACAAAAAAAAAAAAACCCTTCGTTTTAAAAGAAACACCATCAGATGTCATTGCATGGCTGCAAATTCTGGAGCAAATATAAGCATATTTGAATTTTGTCTATCAAACTTAACACCCATTCTCAATATAAGGGCACAAATGCCTCTCTGATTTTTTAAAAAATGAAGTTCAAGATAACAATTTTTCTATCAATTACCTTTGAAAGAAAGTATCTGAAGATTTTGTTTCCAGGTTTTTTTTCATCAAATTTTAATACATGAAATAATGACAAGACGGTTAAGTAGAGGGTGATTTTATTCAGAAATGTAGCTTGAAATGTACGTTACTCTTTCTTCAATGTCCAAAAAAATATGTCAAAAAAAATGTAGTCATTAAAATCACAATTGGAATATCTCATCTTAACACCAGCACATCCTACCAACTCTGTCAGCAACATATTTTCTCGGCATACGAACGTGCGTTTGATTTTTCCTTTCAAAAAACAAAGGTTACTTTTTGATCCAGATGTGTAAAAAGATTTTTTAAATATATGCTTTAAATTCTTCTCTCTGTTTTGTTAAGAGCGATCAGTTTTGAATCTTGTCATTTTAATAGATACTGGAACCTAACATGTACATGTAGTAAAATTCTATTTTGTAGTTACTGTCTTTTTTAACATATATCCATGCCGATTTAGAAAACTATGTAAATGTAACGTACATTTCAAGATATATTTCTGTTTAATAAAAAGCTTAAAATTCATCTAAAATTCATCTAAAAATTCATCGTTTTGTTTCAGTTTATTCCAAAAAAGATTCTCTATGTAATCACATTGTGTTATATGTCACAATCACCACTATAAAAACACGATTGCCTCAGAATATGAGTAGGTAACGTACATTTCAAGCTTGTAATAATATGTAAATTAGTAATAAGAAAATATTGAAAAAAAAGCAATTATTGACATAAAAATCATATCAATGAAGCGTTTTAAGGCAGTAATATAAGAAATCATAATGTAACAAACGAGGTTATTGTCATCAACTACATGAATGTTACGTCACTTCGGTAACGTTCATTTCACATATTATTGGGGTGTCCCCTCCACCTCAGTTCATAACCATTCTTTTGTGCTGTTTCGCTGAAATTGACACCGGTCGTAGCCTAGTTACTTCTAACTGTGTGCAAGGTTACAGACAAAAAAATATAAGAGTCAGATGTATTTTGCTATGATCTAACAAATGTTCGTGTTTGGCCATTGAAACTTAACATAAATCTATTCCGAATATATCCATCGACAGTCTTGTTAACAATTTCATTTAGTATGTTGCAACATCGTTTTTCAAAACACAAACATACGTGCTTTTCAGCAGATCTGGAAAAATATAACCCAAAATGCAATGATTCAAACAAAACTGAGTATTCAGTATTTGAAATGCACGTGACCGTCTTGTGTTCTAGGTTTATTTGTTTTGTTTCTTTTTCTTTTCTTTTTGTTTTGTTTTGTTTTTTTTTTACCAATTATAAGCCTATGCATACCTTGTTTTAAATTATCAACAACAATTCAATTAATATTGACGAAAAGTCGCACATGAAAAGTAAACAAACTGCAAAATGGTTGCCAAAGATGAATTTAAGACACTTAGAAATAAATTTTCTAGCATGTGGTAACAGTTTAAAACATTTACGAGGATTGGGGTGCATTTAGATGTGGCCAGTTGTCAAATGGATTGTAACGATAATTTTGTTTCGCTCGTGTAAACGCAATTCATTGACTAAATTAAAAAAATGTCAGTTAGAAATACATAAAATGTACGTTACCATACGTAACGTACATTTCAAATATAAAAATAAATTCTCTTCCACAAGCATACGCTAGACGCGCAATATATTGATACTATTAGAAGCTGCATATCATAAGAAATGCATCATACAGGTTTCTTATTCAGAAATATATACCAGGTATCAAAATCATATTACATAATAATTGACCTTAATATATTTTTTTCCTCAGCAGAGACGTTTCTTTTCATTAATTTTGGGATTTAGCCGACCTCCAACCTTTGAAACTTTCCTTTGTGTACACATTCGAGTGTGTGAAAGTATTAGAATACATGAAAATTCGTGCGAGATTCACTTAATTTGAATTTCATGGTAACGTACATTTCAGTCACGTACATTTCAAATGATCACTTTTCATGTAAAAAATAATTTTTAACTGTGTTAAGCAAAACGTCTTTGCCAGTTTACAGGATACAAGGGGTTGCTTATTCAGAGTCGTCTCATATTTTCTACTTAATATGTATTCTTAATGGAAGAATATAGGTAACGTACATTTCTTTCTTATCTCTACGATTGAAAATGTCTTTCATTCCGTAAACATATTTATAAAAGTTGCTCAAGTTGTTCAATTTCATGTTACATTATTTAAGTAGGAGTAATTAACCCTTTGAAATTTCAAATGTAGCCCATCAATAAATAAAGGAGAACAAAACTATCAGGTGTATAATCTTTGTGTTTGCTTGTAACGTGGTTGAAATAGAATTAAGCGACAGGGACATTGCACAATAAAAATTATTTATTATCACAAAGAAAATGTATTTATTGTTATGAAAAGAAATATATATGATACAAGGTTTAACTTATCAGAAAATTTTTACTTGAGAATCAAAACTATATATTACACAGAGGGGATTCAGAATAATATTTGCCTCGGCGACAGTAACGTACATTTCAAATAGGCTACTATATTTGAATTTGGAACTCCTTAAATACCCTTTCAGATCGATAATTATATGAATTCTTATTCATTGTTATATGACTATTTATAATGTTGATTTAAAAATTACATCAGTGGCATTTCTTTTAAATGAAAATGAGGCGACATCATTTGAGCCCTTATATTGAGAATGGGTGTTAAATAGAAAAGTCAATTGCATTGTTTTTATTTGATAAAAGAAAGATATGTCTTAAACATTTTAGCCGAAGATGTACATGTTATAAAAGTATTTCCACTTGTAGGCTAAACGGCCAGGGGCACTATGGACCTGAGCGCCCTCTCTGTCAGAAACGGTGGCTGTCAGGCATACATCAGACCCTCTTAATCCTATTAAGATGATCAATAACAGATTGTGCAGACCAAGCATAATGAACCCCCCAAACTACAGTTTCAGTTCTAACATGGTTCATTTGCCCTTGGTAATGCCATACGTTTATCTTCTGTTTTTTTCTTTTGGTACGCTTGATGTTAAAACATTCCTTCCGTCTTTGTTAATATATTTATCCCCTCCAAGAGCTTAAAACCATGACCATTATTTCCTTTCCATGATTCAGCCATTTTGTTGTATACGATGACGACCCAATCCCTCCAGTAATATTTTTTCGTGTAGAAATCGTACAATCGTTTTGCAAATTGAGCGTGATTATCATCTTTGTGCTGTGCAGAAAGCATTTTCAAATCTTCCGTCTTTTGAGTTTCCCACGCATTAGCAACTTTCTTATCCACACATTTTCCTTTCTGTAGGACTTTCTTGATGTTTGCCTCCCATATTGTTTTTTCCATTTTATAGGAGGCTTTCCTGTTTGTGAGCTCCAAATACGCTAAATTAATCTTCACGGCTGTCATGAGAAGCGCGGTACATCCAGCCATTACCGACTGCATCTTTTTACGATCGTAATTTGTATATGCCATTGCTTCATCTGGAATATTGTCTGTAAAAGATCGTTTTGTCATAATACCGTTATATATCTTTTGAGCTGCACTCTGATAACTGACCTCGAATGCCTTAATAAAGCGCGACTTTTGCCCATTGACAGCATCTTTAGGAGCTGATATTAACATATGTAGGCGATGTGACAAAGCGTGAATATTTTGTTCAATTGCAGAAAACTGCGACTTTAGACCCTTTGATTTAATGAGGTTTGTTACTTCGGTAAAAAGCCTTTCCATATTTCTGAAAATTTGAATCTACTTTCGAAAACTGTTCTTTTAAGTAGGTCAAGGTTGGATCCTCTTGTTTCGGGAGAAATATGGTTATGATATCCATAATTGGTCCAATAAGAGCCAAAAACGGAGCAACTTTACCCATTACTTTAGAGAATTTAGCAAACTTCTTGACGTCCGACACAATTTCAGTTATAGCATTGGTTGCCTCAATTCCAGCTTTTACAACCTCTGTTGCCTTTGCTGCATCATCCCCTACGTCAGCCTGAAGGTCAACAATTAAGACCAGCAGCAACACAAACAGCAAAAGACGAAAGATCTGCATGATTGCGACCAATAGTAAGGGGGTTCTATAATAATAAAAAATTACATTCAAGATATAGCATGAAAGAAAAGAAATATGTTTTTCAATTGCACTTATTTCTATAAATGGTTTCAATTATTTCAAAGAAGTAGAAAATATTTAGTTGGTATTACGTATTATCAATTGAAAATATTTTCAAACATAAGTAGATCATTTAAGCAATTTCTTGATCAAATATTAAGTTTTTTTTATGACCAGATAGCATTGAATTGAGACAGAACGTTTGACATACTACATGTTTATAAACAGTTTAATATTTAAAATTAATACCATATCACTTATAATCCACTTTGTTTTACAAATTATGTATTTTAAAGGAATTCGAGTTTTATAGACGCAAATTTCTTTAATATAAAGCTATATGCTCAACAAATAAAAAAAATGGATGAAAATTGAAAAAAAAGAATTTTTTATACATTTTAATGTCCTCTTAAAATTTGACCAAAGTCTTTTCATTTTTCAGTTCGTACGGATCATAAAGATAATGGTAACTCCTCATGCTAAAGTCAATCTAAACTAACAAATCAGGAGCAAACAAGGAGAACAAAACATCAGAGATGGGATCCGATGCTCTGACAATGTAAGTATCCCATTTTTCTTAGCCGTTCCTAAATTTTGTGTGCTCTGAGTCATGATTAAAAAACGGGAAAAGGTCGCAGACAATTCAGTGTGAAATAATGGCTTAACGATTAGCAGGACGATTGTCCTTCGAATTAATGAAAGAATATAGAACTTCATTTGTAAAAGAATGACCTTAATCGAGATGGTTGATATTCATATTTCATCAACTTGTTTGTCAACATTACGTCATGTTTTACAAATTGTTCATATGAATTCATGCTCATCTCTTTCTAATCAACTCTGACACATAAACCCCAACTGCAGATGAAAAAGGGAATGTTATTTCATAAGTAAAGGAAGTCGATGATAAAAACATCACGTAACATAACATTTTGCAAAAATTCTTTTTCTATAAAGAAATCCAAAATGAATCATATGTGTCAGAATCTGTGGCGCCTTTAATTTTAAGTTCACTGAGATATATATCAAAGTGCTATATTAATATTAGTGGACGTAGTGATATTGTTAATTGATAATACGTCGACGAATCATATTACTGTCACTTTGAATGCCATGTCAAATGCTTTCTTTTTCTCATGTGGAAAATCTTTGAATTAATTCTGTTTAATATAGATATCAATCTGATTAGAATAAAAATTATTTGAAAATGTCGGCTAATAAAGTTGCGCAATCAGTGAACACCTGTATACCAACAGTTTGTTGGAAGACTGAGCTATGGGATCATGAAACATCTTAGGCTTTAGTCAAAATTTTTATGATGTATTTAAATATTGTAAAAGTTATGTACCTATAAATAAAAGTATTTCTCCATATTCTTTTCCAAAAGTATTGTTATTTGCAAAATTAAAGGTTAGCTCAATAATTAGTAAACATTTTACAGGCAATTGAAAATTTAATTTAAGTTTAAGTCTAGTTGTTTCGTGATCCTGGGATGGGATGTCTGAAGACTACATTGATATCAATGAGGTATTCCGGGATCAGTCTAATATCAACTTCAAAGTGGGAAGGAGAGTTATCTTAAACAAAGAGTTTTGTTGATGACCAATTACTAGGCCTTTCAATTGCCGCTAGGGTTCGCTGTTATGAACGATAACTCGTTGATGAAACTTGTTTTGAGCATGTCCAAGGTATCTAACTGTTTATAGGCAAATCCGTTTTTAGCATTTCCCAAGTGGTTTTTTTTTTGCTGTCAGCAGAATCCAATGGTATTAAAATAAAGCACTTATGTTAAACTTATTTTCTATAGAATTGTGGACACCGTTTAATTGCATATAAATAAAATTTTTAATTGAAATAAAAAGTGAAATCTACCCTCCTTCTTAGTTCTGACCTGATTAATTTTTTATACATGGTCGTTCTACTTCGCGTTTAGTAACACAAATAAGATAATTAATTGTTGCATTTACTTGTAAAAGTATTTATATGTATATTGGAAGCGCAAAAAATGACATTATTTTCCATCTCACGAGCTTCTTAACAAGCGTCAAAGAGACTTAAAAATATTGAATAAAGTATGTTCTTCATTCATTTGACCCTGTTATTTCAGGTAGAGTGAAGATATTTTTCTTCTTTTGGTCAACACTTTTTTGTACAAAACAATGTAAGAAACCCTTTTGTGTACATAATACCATTGCTGAAGCAGCCTATACGAGGGGCATTTCAAAAGTTCTGGCAACTGTTTATTGAGTTTGACATCATTGGAAAGATCAGAAAAATTAACACATATTGTGACGTCAATTTATAATCTTTATGACGTAATTACTTCAAAAATGACGTCAGAATATAGAATGTTTTGCATACTGACCATAAAAATGACGTAACAAAAGACACAATTTGATCAAATTAAAGTTTTAAAGACAACTTTTGCTCATTACTCGGTCGCAAGTTAACGGACGCAAATGCCAGTTGGTGGAATGTTTACATAGACTACAATATATTATATGGTATTTTATTTTGGAGATCTTGTTCTGAAAAAGTTTTAGTGAGTGTCAAACTTAGCATGATTTTATCGAATCTCGCTCAAACTTTTGCGTTTGTTTTGATCTAAATGTGAGAAAAAGACAAAGATGACAATCAAAGAAAACTAGATGCTGTCATGAGGCACTTATGCCCGCACTAAGGTGTTTGCCTCTAAATACACGCTCCTACATATTGGGCGGCTTTCCAAGGAAAAAGTCAAAATAATTCTATATTTTACATGTATTCATCGAATTGAGTATGAAATTCTCAGACCCTGTGATCTATAACTCAGAACCTCTTATATTTATTTACATGCTTAATTCATTATATACCAGTTTGAATTCTATTAATGATGTAAATTAGATTTTGATAAATGTTTCGCTCATAATAGGACCTTTTTAAATTCACTAACCCCCCCCCTCGACACCACAATCACACAGCACATACATACTTTTTGGAATAGGCTAGATGGAAAAGTTTGGTTAAAACATCAATTGTTATGAATTAATTTAAAATTTGTTCTTGTACTATACATGTTAACATGTGAATTTCTACATCACATCACGTTGCGTCACCCATTATCATATTTTTAGATTTAACACCATTTGGCACACCTCGGCCGATTCCCACTTCATCTGAAAAGGTGACGGAATCGACGAAGGTTTGCCGAATGGAATAAGCACATGGCTGCAGTCTGGTGTGCATTAGATTAATTCATTTTGTGTTATAATTGGATTTATATTTCATGAAGTTGACGAGACCTATGGCCGTCGGTAAGTACAAGTTAAAGTATAGTTGGGGGTAAAATAAACCCAAACGATAAGGTTAAAGTTCAAAAAGGGTCAAAGATCATCGCATGCCACACTAGACGAATTTCATATTGTGAAGTTATCTCCCGTTGTCGATGTGACATTCAGTTAATGCCAATACTGGTGCGGATCCAGAATTTTTTTCGGGAGTATGGAGGGGGGTTCACATCTCAGTCAAAAAATTCCAGCCCAGAATTTCCTGCCAAGCAGGGGAAAAAAATGAAAACAAATAAACAAAATAAAAACAATGATTTTCTAAGTTAGGGGGAGGATGTCCAAAGTCATTTTTTATTTGCTTCAGTATACTAAGTCTTGTTTAAATAACAAAGCAAATTCCAGGGGGGGGGGATTCCAATCTCCCTACCCACTCCCTGTCCCTGAAATAACAATCTATTTTGTGATTCCAATTAAATAGTATATTTTTTTCCATTTGACAAATTATACATATTTTGTTTCTTGTGTTTATATTATGTCGGTCTATTTGTCTGCAGAAATTATAACCTTGCCCATAAGTTTTAAGTGGGATAGGCTATACAAATGGCTTTCACATTTTATAGGTTTATTTCTTGTGACAATTAAGACCTTTTATTTGGGTACCATTAATTTTTACCTCTTATCGCTTGACCTAGGATACACATTTTTCCAAAGAAGAATACCAAACTTTAAACTTGGCCTAAATTTTGATCAGTAGGTACTAGGGCTTTCATGCTTAACATGTGTATTCATTGTGAACTGTCAACAGGTATAAATATGTTTGACCTTGACCCTAGAGTTTGAACCACTTAAAAAAAAATTAAGCTTGGCAATTAACTATTGAACAGGAATTACCAGGGATTTCTTTATTTCACATGCGCATTCCTTGTGACAAGACTTTCTTCTGATACTAACAATTTGAACCCTTTGACCTTGACCTTTGAGTTTGACATATATTTGAGAAACTTCAACCTTCGCCATAGGCTTCCATACAGGGACATCAGTGTTTCACAAACACATCTTGTCTTCATTATTATTTGGTGATGTCTCCATATGAGGGAAAATTCCAAAGAGAGATGTATTCACAACAAACAAACAGATTACTAAAGAAAATATAAAACATGAACATGTTAGTCATGCATATCCCTGCATGAAGAAAACAGCTTTTCAAATACTGCAACCATATTGTAACCCTTTCAAAACACTCATTTGAATTTTTCTGGTTTCCTTAGCATATAACGTCTGTTGTAACGTGTCGTCCATCTGTTTGTCTGAAAACTTTTTACATTTTTAACTTCTCTAGAACCACTGGGCCAATTTTACCCAATTTAATTCATATAGAAATATGTACATTTGTATGTCAGACTAGCCATCTGTCTCCATAAATTTAACATTGGTCATAACGGTCATATCTACTGAATGAGAAGAGACATTCATATTAAACTTATGTATTAGTATTTACCTGTGAGAATGGCATGGGTTTTTTTTTTTTACATGTGACCAAGAAGTTTGACCTACTTGCAAAAAAATTAAATTGTTATAAATTCATCATTTTGAAAAGAGAAAAGTTAGAAATGTATATTATTTCCTGTGATAAGACCTTTCCAAATAAATCATGACTTTTACTCTGTGACCTTG